GAAGAAAGGAAGGAAGGAAGGAAGGAAGGAAGGAAGGAAGGAAGGAGGGAGGGAAGGGAAGGGAAGGAAGGAAGGAAGGAAGGGAAGGAGGGAAGGAAGGAAGGAAGGGAGGGAGGGAAGGAAGGAAGGGAAGGAGGGAAGGAAGGAAGGAAGGGAAGGAGGGAAGGAGGGAAGGAAGGAAGGAAGGGAAGGAGGGAAGGAGGGAAGCTCCCCCCTTCAGCTAAGGGGTGGGACACGGTCACCCCGGAGAGGCCTCGTTGCTGCAGGGTCGGTTTCTGAGGGACTCTGTCCCTTGCTCATCAGGACGGGCTTGCTTCAGGACCCTTGTTCCTGGTTAGCCAGCACAGGCTGAAAACGTGGGGTTATTCCCCTAGGTACAGTGCTTGGCGTCTTCCTAGGCAAGACAATATCGATCCTTTGGAGCAACTGGTCCCTGACTGCCTGACACACGCAAAGGAGAGCCGGAGGCCACGAAGGGAGCTGCCGGCTCTGCCGTTTGGTTTCTCTCTCGTAGCAGCGGCTGTGGCACCATCAGACAGATGAAGTCAGAGTGGTCCCTGCTGGGGGCTGATGTTCCCCAGGGAGGTGCTTTATGGCTCAGACCTCCCCGTCACGTCGGTGCCGTGCTCGGTTTTGGCAAGCGGGCTCTGGTACCAGGCTCTGTGGTCCAGCGCAGGGTGCTCCCAGGAGCTGAAATGGAGAGGCTGTGGCGTCAGGGGCAGCTGCCTAGAAATCTTCCCCTGGGACTTGGGAAGGGCACCCGGCCGTCTCCGGGTACGCGCTGCACGCCCTGGCACCCATCTCACCGCGGCGCGGGGACCGGCACCGTGCTGCGCGTCCTCTGCCGTCCCCTCCTTTGGCAGAACGATGCTGTGCTTCAGTTTAAACCCAAGCACTGTTTGCTTTGTGAATTATGATTGTTAAAACGTGACTGTTTATCTTCCTGCAGGACTTCCGAGATTATTTATACCTTTAGAAATTGTCAGAGGGAAATTTCAGAGTCATTCAAACAAACAGGTAATTTATTTGTGGCAGTACAGATAGTCTGAAGACTTTAATTCCTGTGCAGATCAGAAGTAGGAGACCCATTTGTCAGGTCAGACAGCAAATGTGATGCTGTTCCGGATTAAATATCTTTGGTGCATCCTCCTCAGATGGCACTGTTCTAGGGCATGTGGTTGGTTGTCTTAATAGAAGCCTCATTTCACTTTCTTCCAGACAATATGTTAGTTATCCTTTAACTTCTAATCTCAAGTTCATGTCTGGATGAACACAGTGTCCTTCAGGACCCAGTGTCTGCAGATGCTGTCCTCCAAAAAGCCCCACTTCATGAAACGGAGGTGGACTTCAGTGTCCATGGATCTGTCTGCGTGCTGCAGGCAGGGGAGGAGGGCACGGGGCGCTCGCAGCCGGGCTTCATGGGGTGGGCGAGCGGGTTGTTCGCGTTGTCCCAAAGCGTGTGAAACCAAGTGGGTTTTCCATGGAGTGGAGCTGCTTTGCCAAGTGGACAGATGAATAAGGATTCTAATTTGAAAGTGTCTGAAGTCAAAGGGCCTTTCGGAAGTGTGTTGGTTTTCCAGCTGTGAGGGTAATAAACCTTCTTCTCCAGTTTAATACTTGTTTTCATTCTTAATGTTCAATAATAATTCCTCCTCCCCGGGGACCTGTATGGGGAGGTGATGGGAAGAAGCGAACCCCGAGGCCGTAGCTCGAGCCGCCCTGTGCTTACAGCGCGCGGCAAACCCTTCGCGCTTCTGCTGTGCCTTGCCACCGCGCTCTGCTCAGGGCCGGGCTCTTCCCGTTGAGGTTTGCCAGCTCCCTCCGCCCACCCATCTCACCGCGGCGCGGGGACCGGCACCGTGCTGCGCGTCCTCTGCCGTCCCCTCCTTTGGCAGAACGATGCTGTGCTTCAGTTTAAACCCAAGCACTGTTTGCTTTGTGAATTATGATTGTTAAAACGTGACTGTTTATCTTCCTGCAGGACTTCCGAGATTATTTATACCTTTAGAAATTGTCAGAGGGAAATTTCAGAGTCATTCAAACAAACAGGTAATTTATTTGTGGCAGTACAGATAGTCTGAAGACTTTAATTCCTGTGCAGATCAGAAGTAGGAGACCCATTTGTCAGGTCAGACAGCAAATGTGATGCTGTTCCGGATTAAATATCTTTGGTGCATCCTCCTCAGATGGCACTGTTCTAGGGCATGTGGTTGGTTGTCTTAATAGAAGCCTCATTTCACTTTCTTCCAGACAATATGTTAGTTATCCTTTAACTTCTAATCTCAAGTTCATGTCTGGATGAACACAGTGTCCTTCAGGACCCAGTGTCTGCAGATGCTGTCCTCCAAAAAGCCCCACTTCATGAAACGGAGGTGGACTTCAGTGTCCATGGATCTGTCTGCGTGCTGCAGGCAGGGGAGGAGGGCACGGGGCGCTCGCAGCCGGGCTTCATGGGGTGGGCGAGCGGGTTGTTCGCGTTGTCCCAAAGCGTGTGAAACCAAGTGGGTTTTCCATGGAGTGGAGCTGCTTTGCCAAGTGGACAGATGAATAAGGATTCTAATTTGAAAGTGTCTGAAGTCAAAGGGCCTTTCGGAAGTGTGTTGGTTTTCCAGCTGTGAGGGTAATAAACCTTCTTCTCCAGTTTAATACTTGTTTTCATTCTTAATGTTCAATAATAATTCCTCCTCCCCGGGGACCTGTATGGGGAGGTGATGGGAAGAAGCGAACCCCGAGGCCGTAGCTCGAGCCGCCCTGTGCTTACAGCGCGCGGCAAACCCTTCGCGCTTCTGCTGTGCCTTGCCACCGCGCTCTGCTCAGGGCCGGGCTCTTCCCGTTGAGGTTTGCCAGCTCCCTCCGCCCCAAAAATCGAATGCAACCATGGCTTTAGCTTTGTTGGACCGCTTGGTGTGGAGTGTGGAGACCTGCCCTGCACTCGGCGATGGCCTCTCCCGGCTGAGAGGGGATCACAGAATCCCAGCATGGCAGGGGTTGGCAGGGACCTCTGTGGGTCACCCAGCCCAGCCCCCTGCCCAAGCAGGGTCACCCGGAGTGCAGGGTGGCTGTTTGTATGTCTGGCCTCAAGGAAGAAGTGGCAAATGGGAAGGTGCAAATTAACTCTTCAGTCACAGAATCACAGAATCCCAGCATGGCAGGGGTTGGCAGGGCCCTCTGTGGGTCACCCAGCCCAACCCCCTGCCCAAGCAGGGTCACCCAGAGCAGGCTGCACAGCACCGCGGCCAGGCGGGGCTGGAATATCTCCAGAGAAGGAGACTCCACAGCCTCCCTGGGCAGCCTGGGCCAGGGCTCCGGCACCCTCAGAGGGAAGAAGTTCTTCCTCGGGTTCAGCTGGAACTTCC